TCTGCATCAGCACACTGTCTCCTTGGCACCAGAGCAGACCGTGGCTGTTAAGTAGAAAGTAGGTAATACAGTGTCTGTAGTGCAATCAGCAACCAAATTGCGTGGTAGCTCTTTAACTGGAGGGATTTGATCTACGGCACAATGTTCTGCCTGGCATCCTGGAGCACCTTCTTTTGCTTCCAATCCTCTAACAAAGCTTTCGGATACCTGGGTCTCTTTCTCAACCTGCTGTGGCACAGCGTCTTTCTCATGGCTGTGATCTGTTTCTGAGCCCTCTTTGTAAGCTCTCTAGGGTAGGACCAGTTGTTTTATGTCTGTCCAGTGCCCCACACAGTGGGGTTCTGCTCCCATGGCTAGGGCTCCGAGATGCAATAATATTGGTTTGGGGTAGATCACGCTCCCTTTAGCCCCCAGACAAAGCATGTTCTAAGGATTGTACAGATGTGGTGGTTGGGGTGACCTGAATTATTTTGCCATTGATACATGTTCAAAATCCAGTTACTTTTCAGATAGGAACCCTTGCCCCAGGGACTGGGTGTTGGAGGGATATCTCAAAATAGTGCACACCTACAAATAAGGATAAACTGAAGAATAATGTTCCCCATCATGTAGTTAAATGTTTGAAGCCTTGCATCATATATTGGGGAACAAATAGCCATGTCAGCCCTTAGAAGAAACTCTATCTCAATGTGCAGCACCAGCATTTGGGACAGATGCACATACTTCCACATTAATAGCATTTTGCAAACATTTTTGTGGGTATGTTCTCATAAGACTTGACTGAGTGAGGCATTCCAAAGATTTACAGGCCTGAGAATCTTTCTGGGATGGGAGGAATGAGATTGTTTTGGTTTTCAGTTAATTGGAATAAAAGCTTTTTTATTTCTTTCATTAATATTAAGGCATGCTTTTCCTGTTCCCTCCCGCTTAGTCCTGCGTCTGAAAGATCGGGGAGGGGCTCTGCTCTTCCCAACTGGGCAGAAACCGTTTGCAAGCTTGGATTTAGTTCTATCTTGCATGCACACCTCTTCGTTTCTTAAGAGTAGTTAACTTCATCCCTTGGTCCTCACATGGGATTTGCCACCCCTTTGGATAATCATACCGTTTGGTTTTGCTAGTCTCTTGCCCTCTTTTATTTCTCTCCTGCCTGTTGAGAGTGTGGCAAGCTTTCTTGTTGCCCTCCCCTGTCTGTGTTGGTGGACGTCAGCATTCTTGAGAGAGCACAGCCTTTTCCTCCCTCTTTTCTAGCTTGGCGTCTATCGTTGTCTGGCGGATTCATGTGCAACAACTTTCAGACGGCAGCTTCTTTGCAGAAAGCTATCTGTAGATGCAGCAGTATCCACCTCCTATCTGTGAGCAGATACAGTTCAATAAGCCCCTTTGTCTGTATTCTAGGTACATGAGCTCTCATGCTGTTCCCTCTTCTTACTGCATGTTAACGATTAACTTGTCATGCTTCAGCAGAGCAGTCAATTTGCCATAACGCTGGGTGGATGGTCCAACACATACTCCTGGGTGAATTCTGCGGCCACTGCACAATGCAGAATTTTGCAGAAATTAATGTTGTGCACACAGAATTTCCTTTCCCCCTTTCCAGGGAGCCCCCTACAGAAATGGGCTGCAGAGATGTTGGCTGACACAAGGGGCCATTGGACCCAGTAGAGCCCAGCTCACAAATAAAAGACAAGGCTGGGGGAGGAGGGAGGGAGGGAATTGGAGGGTTCCCAGCAGCTGCAGTTCCCAGCACGCCCTGAAGGAAGGAGGTGGAGGTGTGTAAGAAACTCTGTGCAAGCCTGGCCCCCAGCATCAGGCTGTCTCTCCCTCTGTATCCCTGGCCTCTGTGGGGTAGGAGATGTGAGCGTCGGGGACGTGGCTGGACTCTAAGGGGAAGAGGGTGAGAGGGTGCAGCTGGCCTCTGGGGGGATAGCAGGTAAGAGTGTCTGACCCCCCCACCCCCCAGCAGGGCTCTGGGGGACGGGGCATAGAAACAGGAACTGGGTTGTCATGCACTCTACTCCTGGGGGAATTTTTGTGTCTCTATATTATTACAGACATACTTGCTGACATTTATTTTGAAATAAATTCCCAAAATAATTGAAACTGGCATGATTATATAGTGTTGTTTTTGACAAAATTTGCAGAATTTAAAAATATTGTGTGCAGAATTTTTCATTTTTTGGCGCAGAATTCCCCCAGGAGTAAACATGCAGTAAGCCTTGGCATTTCTTTTGGGATTGTAATTGCTGAGACTTAATGGGGAGAGGGGAGGAGCACTGCTTTGGTTGTCCTACAATTTCCCTTTCTTCTGTGTTGGTTCCCATATTCTACCAGAGAACTGCAATAACCTCTAGAACCATGATTATATTGATAAATCTATTCTTCGAGAGCTTTATTGCCTCAATTTCAATTTTTGTTCCCATCTTTGGTTTTTTCATGCCTTTAACTTCATACCATGTTCTCATTTTTCTCTTCCACTGTTACGCATTCAGTGTCCATCCGTCCCCCCCGCTCTCTTGCCTCATTTTCCCCATATGAAGTCTCTTCCCCACATTGTCCACTCCCCCCCCCCTTCCTTCCTTCCCAATCTCTCTGCTCTTTCTAACAACCTTGACATGCAGTAGCTGCTCACATACTGGCCTAGCTCAGGACACTAGTTCAGTACAGGGTCTTCAGTGGATCAATTTCTCAGCTTCCTTGGCTGCTTATGATGTCATGTGGACTCCTTGGCCATGGTTCTAAAGTCCTTCAGCACCCTTCCCACTTGGCACTCTTGCAGGGTCTCTTGTCTTCCCTGTGAACTGCTCTTGTTTTCACATTCACGTGCACCTAGACTATGCGCACAGCCAGCGCCAGTGAGCCTCCCAGCCCAAATCGATAGCCCTTAGTGTGAGGCTCGCTAATCAGAGATGTCTGTGTAGACAGGACTTTGAAGTTGCAGCTTGGGCTCTGAAGCCTAGGGAGAAGGGTGGGCTTCAGAGCCTGAGCCACAACTCCAAAGCGCTGTCTTCAAACCAGTGTTTAGAGTTCTAGCGTGAGCCCCGCTAGCCCGAATCTGTTGACCTGGGCTGGAAGGTTCACTTCTGTGGGCTGTTTAGACATACCCTTAGAGAGAGAGAGAGAGAGAGAGAAGTAGCTCAGGAGGTAACTGAAAGGTCATTGGTATTCACCAGTACATCTGGCTGGCATAATGAGTCCTGGGATTGCAGAAGCATTTCTCAAAAACTCAGTTGGGGATGTTGGACGCATTCTTATTTCTGTCCTTTGCCTCCCACCAACCCTTTCACCCCCCGTAAATTGAAGAGTGCATTTCCTCCTGAGCCTCTGCAGTTCCTTAGCTGCTTAAGCCGCACACTAACGGTTTATGAAGCCACCAGAGCCTTATTTGAATTCCATCCTTCCAATCCATTATCCTGTGTGTACAGGTAGATGTTTATGATGTAATGATCTGTTACTGCCTTAGCCTGGTGAATCTGCATAGATATGAAATAGGATGTTAAAGGAAATCCATATTTGTGTCTCTACTGGAAATTTACAGTATACTTTCCTACACCCACTTCAAGTGTAGGGAGATTTTGCATTATTGCAATCACTTCTGTTCTCACTATTCCAGTACAAAGCAATAAACCGATAAGAATGTAAGCCCATCATTCATGATCAAAGCAAAATATTTCCCACATGCTTTGAGATTTGGGGAAGGTGGGGAGAATTTCCATCATTGTAAGGACTAAATGGGGAATTGGATTCAAATTAAAGTTGTAAACTCTTCAGAAGGCTGATTCACTATGAAATGCCCAGTTTTTCTTGTTCTTCAAAGAGAGGATTCCATAAACTGTTCTTCTCTTACTACTAATTAAACAAGAAATCAGAAGTAAATTAGTATTGCAATTGACTATATGGAAACCTGTTCAGCACTCTGAGGTGTTTTAACTGTCACATTGTTTCTCATAGATTTCGATCACATTTCAGAGATGACTTGAAAAATATAGGATAAGCAACTGGGTAGAGAGACACTTGAATACAGTTTAAAATTATGACATTATATGGGGATGGAACTCAATGTAATAGTTTAATATTTATTATTCTGGACTACTAGATATCTTAATGCTATTGACCTATTGTATGTAGGCAAAGTGCTCTGATGGGACTAGTGTTACAAAGTTAATGTGTTAAATCTTAACTGAGCTTTTGAATTGGATAGTTTACTTGTATTTGGTGTGAATGTGTTAGTCTGCTTTTGACAATCTCTAAAAGTCATTACTAGACAGGATAATGTGATGCATGATGATAGGTGTTTTCCTGGGCTTTTGGGCTTCTGATCAACCCTTTCTCCTCTCCTCCCCCTCCCTTCAGCTTCCCGCAATGAAGAATCGGCCTTATTTCAGGTCATCTTCAGGCTGTGGAATTCAGGGATGACTTCCCCGGAGCTCTAAAATATTCACTTACTGGACTTCTGAATGAATGGTCCTGGCTGCCTAGCTCTTGGAAGGAATCCTTTCAGATTCGTTCTGCAGTATCTGTTCCTTCTACAGACTGCCTTTCTCCTGTTGCTGTTGCACATTTCTTGAAGTTAGCAGAGACTATGTTGGTCGTTTCAGTCTCTGACCCTCTGATTTTTTCACTCACATTTGGTGATTATGTGCATAATTCTGAGTCACTGCTAATGCGCCAATATAATGCTACAGCTGTTATGGTTAATAATCAGTTGGCTAATATGTTATGGATAAGTGCTAATAACACAAATTGACTGGCTAATAGTAATGATTTCTCTTTATCCTTGACTACTTTTATAGTTCCACAAGGGAGAATCTACATAGATTGTTCATAATGTCATTCTTTAAATGTATGTGGAGTAAAGACTATTGTAGTACTGTGCGCTGGGAAGTGACAGGCTTGCCCCTCTCATACATATATGCTTTGTAGGGATTGATCTCATTTTTCTCTAGGAGGACACTCTATTGACCTTCAGCAAATTAACTAGTTGTTAATTTCAATCCCTTCAGTTGTACCTGAGGAGGGACATGCTTTCTGTAAACCTACCATCATACTACAGCATGGTAAAAAGGTAACTGGACCAGACTTAAACATAAAAATCATACAGTAGATGGTAAAATTTCAGAGCCAAAATTTCTATTTGGGAACTTATTACCCCTCTTACCAGTAATAGCAGTCACAGGCCTAGGGGGTCTGTGACTTCATGATGGCACTCCGTGTGTGACCAAACCCTTGTGTTGCCTGTGTCTTCCAGAAAGATGGCAAACACACATACGAGGCTAGATGGAGCAGGAACTCCTATGTCAGTACAGGAGGCAAATGTAGGAAATGCTCATAAGGCCTTGAGCCCCGTGGAAGCCAGAAAACCGACATAGGTCTGTCTGTTGTGTTTGTTTGACCAAACGGGGGGGAAGGATAACAATCTGAAGGGAAATCCAGATTCTCAGTTTGAATTTTTAGATGAAGTTTGAAGAAAGTGTCTTCTGTAGTGACATCTGTAGCAACTGATGAGAGCCCTACTAGTTGTCAGTGAGAAATAATTTCCCTGCCATTGCAGGGGCCTCGAGCACTGGTGCACCTCCGTTCCTCCCGTTCTCTGCCTGTGACACGCAATAGTCTAGTCTTCTGTGGGTCTCGTTTCGGTTGTTGGGTTTAGGGTGCTGTGTGGTGGGGATGGCCTCTGATATGCAAGAGGTCAGACTAGAAGATGTAATGGTCTCATCTGGCCTTACGCTCTAACTCTGACATAATTGACAGAGGCACTAGGGGACTCTACCCCACCTCAACAGGAGGAGGAGAATTAATGGCTCTGGAATGCTAAAGCTTGTGGCATTCCTGTCAGTCACATGCTGTGAACATGGACCCAGGTGATAGGGAGCTACTAGACTGTCTGTCATTATTGTTGAGACCAGGTGGGTGAGGTAATATCCATTATTGGACTAACATCTGTTGGTGAGAGACCAGCTTTTGAGCCACACACAGCTCTTTGGGTCTGGGAAAAGGACTCTGAGCATCACAGCTAAATACAAGCTGGAACAGATTGTTTAGCATAAGTAGCTAACACGAATTCTAAGGGACCGTTCAAGGAGAGTGGCCCGTTAACACCTCTGCAGTTATAGGACAAAAAGGGGGTTAATCAGTTACAGATGTTTGTAATAACCCATAAATCTAGTGATTACCTCACCAACCTTGTGTCTCTAATATTCTGGGACTGACCATGGTTACAACAACACTGTAATTATTATTCTCAGAGGTGGTAATCAATCTATCTCCAGGAAACCAGTCCTAGAAAACTCTCTCAGTACGCACTGATCACATGTAAAAATCTGTTTCTAATCTTATTCCCTTGTCTCTTCCCCTCAGGAGTATAAACAGAAGCTTGCTCGGGTAACCCAGGTCCGCAAGGAGCTGAAATCTCACATCCAGAGCCTTCCAGATCTGTCGCTGCTGCCCAACGTTACAGGAGGCCTGGCACCTTTGCCATCTGCTGGTGATCTGTTTTCAACTGACTAGGACTAATGGTGCCTGCATTTACTAATTCCCCTTAGTACCAGCAGAAGTAAGAAAACTCTCATGTTGACTGGAAATCCAGTCTTCCAATGATCTACCATAGGAATGAACATACAGACCCTACTTTCAACCTACCAGCTGCACATGCGTGCTCTCTGTGTACAGTGTCTCATGTTGAGGGGAAGATGGAGAGTGTGTGTGTCCATGTTCTGAAGGGAGTGGGTATAGAGTCCATATATATTTTGAAAAGAAACTTTTCTCACCCTTTCTGTACTCAGATTAGTTTCCGTTTGCTCTTAGCACTTGTTACTCCCACAGAAGTCATAAGAATCATGTACATATACCTTGAAAGTTTTCAAAGAAATGTTTTGTGTTTTTTCTCTCTAAAAGTGTCTGATGATTTCTGAATCTGTTTTGTGTGTGTGTTGGGTTTCTGACGTTCAAATCTATAAGCAGTAGAGTGGCTAATGTGCTTCATGGGGGCGTGTGCATGTGTGTACTGTACCATCCTGGGATCCGGGGGCATGTCTACAGAGCAACAGTACAGGTAACCTGTTGTTAAATCGATAGTTGCTGTTACTGTTGTAGGAATGACCTCAAGGTGGCTCCTATTTGGTATGGTGCCTATGTACGTACACTGAGACTCGCACTATGGGCAGTAGAAATGAACAGCTTGTTTTTGTGAATTAGAGATAACTTCATAACTTGCACTGTGCTGAGCAATGCAGAACTGGTTACTAGGCATGAGTAGAAGTGAATTTTATTCCAACTCCCTTGTATTATATTTATACCACATTTTCCCTCTGTATTATATAAATGTAAATGCCACAGAAGTTTTAACTAGCCAAGAGGTTGGAGTGGTGGAATAAAACTAGTGATATCTCAAATAGGTACTGTAACTTTCTTTGTGAACTTGAGAATGGCTATATTGAAAATCTTGTTCTATGAATTTTGTCTCCTTAGGTTAAATAAGTGAATTTATTTGATGGACTGAAGTTAAATGTGGTATAAATATTTTATTTATATAGCGTATCAACATATACAGACCTGTATGTATATGTATATACACACATCCTGTATACCATACATCAATATACATGAGCATGTATATATTGGGAGGATGTATGTATTTTCGTATCACACATTAATGTGAGTTGATTTTTTTTTCCCCAGTAAAAATTGAAAAACAAATTAAAAAAAAACCTAATTCTAATTCCATGATCATGCGAGCTAATGGTATAACTACCATGGATGTAGTTAGGTTTAAATTTTTGTGTATTAGTTTTAGCAAGCAGGCCTGCCTGCTCATTGCAAACCATTCCAATCTGGCAATTTTGTTTTAATTTAAACACTTCTTGCTAAGGGCATGTCTTCACTAGCAATGTGGCAGTGCTTTAACGTGGCTGTGTAGTCGCGTCATCAGTGCTGGTGCACTGTCTCTCCAAGCGCTATAAAAAACCCACCTCCACAAGTGGAGTAACTCCCAGCGCTGGTGCACTGTCTACACTTCCACTTCAAAGCGCTGAAACTTGCAGCGCTCGGGGGTGTTTTTCACACCCTGAGCGAGAACGTTGCAGCACTGTAAAGTGCCAGTGTAGACAAGGCCTAAGACTTCACAAGCTGCTGGAAACACTTGATTGGATAATCCTGGTTTCAGCCTCTGTATTACAGAACCTATAAGGCAGAGTGATGTGCTTTGTTTGAGCCTCACTGTGGTCTTAAGCTGCTCTTTTCAAAGACATGAGAGGAAACCTATAGAAATATGAAGCTTGTTCTTTGTGCTCGTTAACTTATTTTACAGGGAATATAATGGCTAATTCAGCATTCAGAGAAACCGAATAAACTAGCATTTCTGGTCATTTAGTTTGTGAAAAGTTCATGCACTTCATTTTGGCCCTTTATTCTTGCCTCCTTACTGCCCATCTGTGGAATCTGTTTTCCGCTTGTTGTAGAGGAGAATTCCTGGGGGCAGAACTACATTCTTCCATGAATTGATGTGACTGGAGAGCCCTTTATCTGAATGTTTGGACCATAGAGTGTTCTACACTCTGCTTTTGCCAAAAAAAAAACAAAAGAAAACCCCAAACTCTCAAACACAAACCAAAAGATGCATTTCTATCCTGTCCCAGCTCAGTGGAGTTAACCCCAGACTGTATTTTATTTAAATAACTATTCTTGACCTGTAATTTGACTGCATAACCATTACAGGACAAAAATGAAGCAAAACTGTCATAGAAATTATGTAGACAAATGAGTGTTGGCATCTCAAACTGCTATTTTGGGCGGATTTTCTGTGAGAAAGTTGTATGTTTGTTTTTTAAATTGAAATGCTTTGATTTTTTTCCAAAAAAATGTGTGTGTTTTACTTTATTTTGCTTAATTTAAATAGTCTTGTGGTTTTTATTGACGGGGGGGGGAGGGGGAAGAGGGCAAAGGATGCCTGGTGAACTGGGTACAACTTCCTCAAACAGTTTCCCCAAAGTGTCTCTTAAAAAAAAAGAAAAGAAAAAGAAAAAAAAAGAGCTTAAATCTGTATATGAATTGATCTAGGAATTAATTTAGAAGCATAGGCTGCCATTTTGGCAGCAGTATATTCTGAAATGTCTCATAGATATCTATTTTTGAATAAAGAGGGTGTTGTTGAATGGTACTGGGTTTATTTTATTCAGAGCTTGCATTTTGCACTGGCACACCCCAGGCTTCGCTTTGTTTAAAGCAGTGAGATCCATGTGCAGTAGCTACTAGAGAATTCCCACTTTGAGGAGTTCTGCAGCTGTGAAGTATCATTTGAACTTGGCAAATTGACAGTCACCCTTTAACTGCTTACCGGCCACACTCGTGTATGATTGTCTTAGAGCATCACCACACCAAAGACCCTCTACTCAATGGACTAACTTCTGCTTAGAGGGGCAGAAGGTTTGGGAGACCAATTCAATCAACAAGTAATCCCGGTTGCACCAGGAAACGTGTAACTAACTAACTACACTGTAACTAGAATGCTATATCAAGAACTGTGGTTATAAGAGTTTGTGATACTGGGTAGTTGAGGCACTTTAGCTTTAGAGAGGGTGGAATGAAAGAGAAAACGTAGAAGTTGTGATATTAGTTCTTGCATAATGTTGACCAGAGTGTGTGTGAGATGCTTATGGCAAGGTTCTTCAGCCTAGTTGACTTCTGACTTTAAGGATGCCTTCAGACAAATTTAATTAGCCAGGGGTGCATCTACATTGCAGATAAGGCTTAGAGGTTGGAGAGTAGCCATAAATATTCTCCTACCTCTCAGATTTTTATACCAGCTTGAGAAGTCCTGTAGTCTGTGGCATATTTAAAATTCAATACTACTTTCTTTACCATGAAAGGCATTCAAGGTGGACATCCTTCCTGTGAATAAGAGGAGACCTGTTTCATTTCCCTGCTCACTTGAAAATTCTTCATCTTCTGGTGATCTTGGGAACTAGAAGGAAGATTTTTTTTTTTTTTCAAGGGCACAGATTGCAGGTAGGGGCCACCTGCCAGACACACCTCTGGAGATTTTCATTTTACAGTTCTCCAAAAAAGACTTGGCTTGTTCACAGCTTCTTTCATACTGTTCTCTACTTCAACATATTCTGTACCCTTCGCCAAAAACATAACCATCAGATAATGCTAGTTAAAAGGCTAATACCAATATTTCACACCTTCTCTGGAGCGGTGGAGGGGAAAAAGAAACTTGGGTGTTGACAGCTCAAGGATTTATGTAATTTTGTGAAGTGCTCAGATACCATGTGATCATGGTGTCAATAAAATTAAAACAACTTTTAGCTTCCACACAGGAGTTAGAGGAAGTAGACTCTGGAGGCTTTGTGTTTGCCCTTTGTGCTACATGAGAGCATTAATATGTTTAAAAAGTATTCTGATGCTAGGAGAAATGAATAACCTAAGTACTTTACTCAGTCTACTGTCCAGGAGTCCATATATGGTGTCCTTGGGCCCTATGAGCAGGTCCTCATACATCTATTCTCTACTCCTTCATTGTACATAAGAACATTGTAGCATGGTATATACAGTTCAGCTTGCATCTTGCAATCATCTGCTTAAGATGCTCCATTAAATCTGACTTTTCTGCGAGAGCCAGATACATTTATAAGTGCACTAGGCTACTGCCACACAAGCTCTGAAATCTTGCTATTATTTTGAAGATCACACCGATTCTATTTTTGTACAATTGAATGAAAGCCTAGCTATTTAGCATGTTAAAATGATCACCAACTACTGTCCTCACTATTCCTGCCAATAGCAAACCTTGGAAGTGCAGCATTGGAGAGTAGGCGCCTCCATGTGGTTTTGAAGTCAAGAATAAGACTTCAGAATTTAGGAGCCAATCTCCTTTCAAGCTGGGGAAAAAATACATATTGTAACCTTTTTAAAAACATAGTCCCAGTATGCCAGACGTCTCAAGTGATTTTGAAAGGAGATAGTTAAGACTTTTGTGTAGTCCTAAAATCTTTCTTGGGTTTTTAATCCACCTTAAAAGACTAAATATGTTTGATCAGTTTTGACAAATATGTGACCTCTCTTCTGTATGGGAGCTGAAATGTATTTCCCTAATTTGTGTGCCAGTAGCGCTGCAGATTCACGAGGAACTGTGTCGCCTATTATCAGGGGGGAGCCGTGTTAGTCTGTTGCTTATGTTGCATGTCCAGGCCTTGGTTTCCTCCTTTGATCAGTATAAAATACTTTCCTGCCTTGGCCAGATGGTGGGAGGATGATGTTTGCCAGGGTCTTGGAGAGGGTGCAAGGGAAAAATCCTACAGAGATGCAAAGCATTGTGTTTGTACTACTGCCAGTCTCCACTCTCTTGATCAAGGCAAATCAAGGCCCTTAAGACTAGAATGAGCAGACAGTCATTCCCTGGGTACCAGTGTCTGACACCTCAGTTGGCTAAGATGTATTTGTGTTTTCCACGTACATGGATGTGGCTCAAGTTACTGACTTCCCCTGTCATCACAGCCCAACAGTTGTATCAGGGCATTCTGTGACCTAGAGATGTAGCCAGACTTTGGCTGCCCCACTCCAGCCTCTGAGTGAACATCTCTGCTCTCCTGTGACAGACTCCTCTGCCTCCATCTCACTCCTCAAGCCAGCAGCCTTTGAGAGCGTGCTAAAGAGAGGGCTATTCTGCCCCGGGGGTTGAGTGAAGTGCTCTGCATTGTAACATCAACTCCTGGAAATGGTAGGGGCCAGGAGGCAATAGCGGTGGTGTCAGGGATGGGGAAACCTGACCTAAGGAGAACCCAGCTGTGAGCCAGGAATTCAACAACCAGTTTCCTAAGTGCCGTTTCTGCTAACCCAGCCCTGCTGCCGAGTGTGGTTAAGGCAGATGTGACTGACCTTCAGAAATAGCTGGGCTACTATTTTATTTTATCAGGACCCCGCTTTGAACCAGAGGAGCTGCAGGTTATTTTTAAACCAGGCATTGAGCAGCTTGAAGCCTGGCTCAGCAGAGCTGTGTGTGACAAATGCTCTTTAAAGTGCGGTTGTGCATTGTTTCCTGCTCTGAAGAATGTTTCCGACAAAGGAGGAGAGTGTTCAGTTGTTAACCCCTCCGGGACCTCTCCCTCAATGGCTCTTGCGTAATGTCTGTGTTTGTGTTTGCACAGTGCAGTCTCTGGCCTCCCAGGCAGTCCTGGAGGAGATCTTGATGGTCCCCACTCTTCGTCCTTCAAAAAGAGAATCAGGGTGGCCAGCAGCAGGAATCTTTCTGCGAGTTCCCAAGCTGTAGTGGAGGAAGCCTGTCTCTGCCCCTGTCTTCTCTTTGCCCAGCCTGGGAGCTGGGTTCACATCATGGGCACTAGCGCCTCCCCCCTCTTCCTGCTCCTTTCAAAGAGCCACAACCCGTTCCTTATTCCATGGCTTGAGGTCCCTCTGTCCTACGCCTTTGGAGAGCCGCCGCAGACCCCAGGCATGGCTTTCCTAGGCTAGCTGCTGCAGCGATGCCAGAACACTTCCAAAGGCGCAGGCACGAGGCACGACCCCTTCGGGGGGAAGAAGCATGTCCACCCCTCTAAAGGGCTGTTTCGTAGCCTGATACTAAACTGTCCCATGGTTTCCCAAGGCAGCCCTTTAGTTCTGCAGAAACACCCCCTGAGGCGGTGGTCCATCCCAGGCATGGTTTGCATAATCGCCCGGAGAACCCCTGCCAGCCTAAGAAGCAGCGAAGAGGCTAAAAGTTAAATGTCTGCTGTACAGCAGCTAAAATGCCAGGACTGGAACTACGCGTTCCATCATATCCCCGGTGCAGCAGCAGGT